AAAAAAAAAAAAAAAAAAAAAAAGTTGAGTCTAATAGATCCTGATGTTTATACAGCAAGGCACACATGAGATAAAATACCATATAAAGCATTTTATAAAATCTCAATTGTAGTTCACACAGAGCTACATAAGTAACTTTGGTACTGATTCTAAACTTGTGGGCAGTTTAAATAATAATAAGACTGAATTGGCACAAAACTTCTGCATAGATGTTAATCATAGCCAGCCTTTCTCAGTCAACATCCAGAAATGACTTGGTGTACCTAGCTAATTCCATAGAGCATAAGTGTGCATTACATAATAAAAAAAAAGCATTTGCGCTGTGATTTGGAGAGTCTGGGCTGATGGAATGCATGCTTAGGTGTAGGTCAAACTGGTTGAATATAGCACAGCCGCTGTCATGTGTTCACCAGAAGCTCAACAGCATTGTCTCTGCTTCTGTGGTAAACGGCTACAGATGGTGAAAACAGAGTTTAAGAGATTGCATCGTGGGCATTAAGTCCTTGGGTAAAGGGTTATGATGATTCAGCTGTATTAATCTGTGAGAATTAATCTTTGACATCCTTGCTGCCCTGATTCCTAGTTCATTGCTATAAGAATTTGCCTTTATTCAAGTAATACACGTCTTAAACTTGATGTTACTGTATTGACTAGGTTGGGGGAAGAGCTGATGATAGTTGATAAGATTAGTAGGTTCTGGAAAGGTCAGAGTTGTACTGAATTCTGTTTAAGACAGTTTCCCCTTGTAATCATTTAATTAAACACTGTTACTGTCTGTGACTTTCCTGCGCACATAGGTGATTTTTGAGGATGAGCTGAGAGGGAAGTTGTGATTCCAGGAACAACACAGAGCACAGAGACAGCAAAATTTATGCCTCATAGCAACCTTTGATTTCTTCCTAGGTTAGGCAGGCAACTTTGAATAAAACGTCTTTTAAAAATAATGTAAAATCGGCTATTTTTTAGTCACAAATGAGTGTATTTGTCTTATACTGAAGGTGGCAAGAGTTACCACCTTCTGCATAGAAGGGCTTTGGCAAAGCTGAACTTACAGTGCCAGCTTCTCATACCCAATCTCTTCTACTCATGGAAAGATAAAGTTTTTGCTGTTGAATTTCTTTGTAAAAAGCAGGCTGTCATTTATCATTAGACGTCTGTTCAGTAAAATACAATGATACTTGGAAATAAAGCTGAGTTTTTTCAGATTTTAATTTAATTTTTAAGATACTTATAGAAGGTGTGCAATTTATAAGTAGTGCTCAAGAAAAAATATAAAATCTAGTTAAATTTTAAAGGCTTTGCTATACACATAAGTATATCATCTTACATAGAATTGTATTAAAAATTAATAATATGCCAAATATGAATAATACAATGTATGGAAGATATTTTGTCTGTTTTTACATTCTACAGTAAAATTGACTTTTTTGTCTTCTGATGTCTAGCTTTATAAATTTTTAAATGTAAAGATTCATGGGCTCACCCCTATGTATTTTCTAATTTAGAGATTTAATCTAATTCTAATCAAAGCTTGGATTTCTTTATTTGTTTATAATTGATAGAAGTTTTTCCTATGGTAGAATGAGTTTAATGTTCATTTACAAATAGAAATGGTTAGAAATAGTTCTGAAAAAAGAAGAAGAATGTGTGGTGGGAAGAGCTTGCCTAACTTACTGCCATGATGTTACAGAGATAACAGCACATAAGAATCCCAGGAGCAGAATAGAATGAACAGACCATCTAGCATACGTAAAAATGCAAAACCTGGTTAAGATGTCATCTCAGTCACTGATGAAAGGAAAGATTAGTGTCCACTACAGGGTAGGTTAGTTACCTATTTGAAGAAGAATTAGGTGGATTCTTACCTCACTTGTGCAATAAACAAAAACACAAATAGAAAATTATATGTAATATAAAGAATGTAGAAAGAAGAAAATATAGGTAACCATCAGTGTCTAGAATAAGGAAGGATTTTAAGGATAAAAATAACAAAATGTCATAAAAATAAAAACAAAAACTGATATCCCTGACTGTTTAAATAGTTAAAAAAAATACCTTCTGCTTATCAAAAAGTGCTATAACTAGCATCAAGATGTAGAAAACTGGAAGAAAATATTTATAATAAGTGTAATAGTAGCCTTAATAAGTAACCTCCTTTAAAAAAAAGAATAATAAAAGCGCCAACAGGAAAATGTGAAGAAGACTTATCAAATAATAAGAGAAAAGCTAACAGTGGCTTAAAAGGTAGTTTACAAACAATGTCAAACTGGTCAGTAAGGCACTGTTATGCACTGTGGTGAGATTATAAATTGATAATCTGGAAAAGCTTTGATACTCTATTTCAAGGTCCTTGAAACACTTACTATACCTTTTAACCTAATACTCACCTTTAGGAATTATATATATTATCAAAGGTTTAAGTACTGAAATGTTCATTTTAGTGACATGTATAATGCCAAGACCTTGGAAATAATGAAAACAACAGGAATTAATACAGCGTGGAGGAATGAAACGATGAAACGAGTCATGGTGGAATACACAGAACCATTAAAAGTCGCATTGTACAGTGATGGGGAAGATTTAAGGCGATCACTAGACTGAAAAAAAGCAGTATACAAAGTATTACATAGCACTATTTTGGCTAACTGAATTTTGGGTGGTTATGATCTCTATATTCTTTATTCTTTTCCAGATTTTCTATAATAATATGTTTTGCAATTAGAAACAAAAATAACCATTTAAAATTATTTTCAAAGAACAGTTGATGTTTAAAAGAATATAAATATTGTACACTGGGTTCCTAGATTTTTAGTTAAAATAGATTTAAAATGTAGAAGTAAATCTGTAGGATATTAACAGCATTTATTTTTAGGTGATATGATTTGGCAATTTTTAAACTTTATTTCTGTTTATTTTACACCTTTTGCTCAGTTGACATTACTGTTTTTATAATAAAGTTTAAAAATTAAAAATCTTTCTTAAAAAATGTTTTTGTCCAGATATGGTGGCTCATCTGAGTGCTGTAATCCCAGCACTCAGAACACTGAGGCAGGAGGATCTCCATGAGTTCGAGGCCAGCCTGAACTACATAGTGAAACCCTGTCTCAATATATATATATATTTTTTTACCAAAGAGTTAATGAATTCTTACCATATTTAATCCTCTATTTAATTATGTTCACCATTTAATTTATATTATTATATAGTTATTTTTAGGTTATGTTCATTCTCACCTTTTAAAAAAATCCCTAATGTTCTTTTTTTGTGTGTTAAAAATAAAAAGAAAAGCTAGGTATGGTGGCACATGCTTGTAATTCCAGCTACTTGGGATGCTAAGGCAGGTGGATGTTAAGTTTAAGACCATCCTGGACAACCCAGTGAGATCCTGTCTCAAAATGAAAAGTGTTAGGGATTAGTTAGGTAGTAGAGTACCCCTCGGTTGATACTTAGTACCGGAAAGCGATTGGAGAGGAATGAACTATGTTTCCCAATAACTAATATATTTCAGAATAGCTAGTAGAGAAGACTGATGATGACTGTGTGTCCAGTACTAAATGAAAGTCACTGTGCAGGTGAAAGAGCACCCACTTTCGCATGTTCTTAAAAGTGTCCTCACTTTACTCGTAGGGAGAAGTCATCTATTTTCACTGCATAGCAGTAAATTGTGAGTGATGTTCAGTTCCCTCACTCACTTGCCCAATTACTAGTCACCCTCTGGGTGGAGCTAATCTTTTTTTATACAGTATGAAAAAACAACATTAAACCTACTGTTTCTGCAGTAGTCTTCTCACCAAAACTCGGAAAAAATGACAGGATGATGCCTTTCAGTGACAGCGAATGCGAATAAGGGTTCTTTCCAACAGTGAGATAAGACATGCATAAATTCACATTTAGTTACTTGATACATATACACACATGCACTATGTATCAGTATATAATATATATTTTTGTTTTATGGCTATTAAATGTGAGGTTATGGAATGTATTTTCAAGTTGCAGTTTCGAGAACGTGATTTCAATACCTTGGAGAGAGAACAACCATGATTAAATTATGCCACTATATTGTCAAAATGGAGCAAAATTAACCTGTTGAAAGCTTTGTTTTGCATGTTTGATTAGTTTGTTTAATAATACATTCAAATTATGACCTTTAACATAATTTCTTCCCTTAATAGCTTGGCGCAAACAGTGGTTTGCACATCATCATCTTTGATGAAATTGATGCCATCTGCAAACAGAGAGGGAGCATGGCTGGTAGCACCGGAGTTCACGACACTGTCGTCAACCAGTTACTGTCCAAAATTGATGGGGTGGAGCAGCTGAACAATATCCTCGTCATTGGTGTGTTTACTTTGGTTTATAAACTTCCAGTCTTCCAAAAACATGAGGCACATTAAGATCTATGCAGGTTGTTTTTTGCCAGTGTCTCCAAACTAGAATCACTTGACACTGAAGAATTTGAATTTAATTCAGAGCTTTAGAGGAAAAATAGATGGTGGATTTTAGTGGCTTAGTGTATGCTTATGGCTCACCCGCAGATGAGACAGGCAGCACAGTGGGATGCAGTGGTTTTCAAACTACATTACAGTTTTTGAGGAGGAAAAAAGCGCTGTTTTAGGAAGATTGAAAATCACCAGCCTGTGAAAGAGGGAAAGAACGTTGAAGTCAGAGAGATCATATTCACATTACTCCTCTGTCCATTTCACAGATATATACTTAACCATCTCTGAACCTTAAATTTTCTTTTTAATTCAATTTTTCATTACTTTTTTTTTTGGCTTATAATGGTAGTGAAATAGTAAAGCAAAGTTTTCTGGTATTTTCAGTAGAACAGATCAAGAACAAAATGCTGTTTTTAAATTTGAGAATAAGTTGTTTTTCTATTTGTTATAAAGTATCCTCTCAGCTTACTAAAGGGACATTTTATCTTATTCTTTAAGCTCTGATCATTTGTTTGTTGTTTTAACATTCGCATTCAGGAATGACTAATAGACCAGATCTGATAGATGAGGCTCTCCTTCGACCTGGAAGACTGGAAGTCAAAATGGAGATAGGTAAGCAGATGTGTTACTGACGCATGCGTGTGTGTACTTGTACATATACAGATGCATGTGGCATTCAGAGTTCATCGACAGGACCAATGTCGCGTAACTTAGTGTTCATTAGAAAATTTACATCATGAGAAGCAACTGTTCACGTGTTTGAATACCTAGAGAAAAATATTGGGATTATATCTCTGATGGGCTCTGGAACCTGGGAGAATGTCTCATCTGTTTTTATCAGGCTTACCAGACGAAAAAGGTCGCCTACAGATCCTTCACATCCACACAGCAAGGATGAGAGACCATCAGTTATTGTCTACTGACGTAGACATTAAAGAACTGGCTGTGGAGACCAAGAATTTCAGTGGTGCTGAACTGGAGGGTCTGGTGCGAGCAGCACAGTCCACTGCTATGAACAGACATATAAAGGTCAGGAAAAACAATTTCAATCAATTAGGCATTTGCGTGCCTCTAAATACCAAGTGTGCATTCTTTCTCTTTCCTTTCAAGCATGCCAGTTGCTAGGTTAATGCTGGTATTGCTGGAGAAGAGAGATGATAAAATAGTTCAGAGTTAGTTGTCCACTGTTCAGTCTACAGAAGAGCAGGAAGAAAGGCTATGGCAACATCTGCCCGGTGATAACCGCCAGCTCATCTGTTGAGGTTGCCGCCCCCAACACAGACTTGTGAAGCAAAGATTTTGAAAAAAAAATTTTTAATCTTCATTGTATATTAAGTTGTAGCGTGTCATGGGAAGTTGGATAGTCTATGTACTGGAATTACAGGAGCTGCTTTGTTCAGTAAATTTACTAAATATTTGGTATTTTTGAGGCATTTGGCTGGAGATGCAAAGATAATAAATTATGATCACTTCCCTTAAGGAATTCACAGTAGGGAAACAGACCTGTTTGCAAATTATAGAGTAATGTTACAGGCACTGTGATAGAATAATACTGTGATATTATTTTGATGAAGTGCTCTTATTTCCTGTCTGCTCTGTTCTTTATTTTTTATCATAGATGACTCAGATTTATATTTTATATCTTGAGAATATCTGTCTTCTACTTTCACATTTGTACTAAATACCCCCAACCTGCATGTTTTGTCAACCTCAAATTTAGCATTTTAGTAAACCTGCATTGTCTTTTTTTTTAAACTACTTTCCTTCCTCCTTGTATTTCTCTGTTTATTAGAGTTTCCCCGGCTTTAGACTTCAGGATTATCTGTGATTGCTGCAGTTCTGTTGTGTCTTACATCGGGTCATTTGCTCATGCTCTCGGTTCTATCTGGGCATGTATTTTTCAGTTCTCACAACCACTGCCCACCTTCTCTTTACCCTTAACCTTCCCACTTCAGTTCATTCATGACTCCTTGTTGTTTACAAAGTACAGACTGTCCTCTAGATCTGAGTCAAAAGTAGCCTTTCTAGATGTTTTCCTAATTATCCCCCATAAGCTTCAGCCAAGTTGAAATACTCATGAATTGTCAGACATTGATTTATTTTTCAACCTTTTTGCTCTTGACTTTTTTGCTGCATTTAGGATGTTTTCCCTCTACTTCTACCTGTCTTTCCATTACTTGACTCATATTCTACCCTTTCTTCCAACCTTTTCTGATTCTTTCTTCAAATAGTAATGCATCATTTATGATATCACCAGTTGATTTTGGTTCAAAATAGATTTATCCAGTACCTACAATATGCCATATACCTTGTGAGGTGTTAATGCTACAACTGCAAAGGAGTAAATTGCTTGCCACTGAGCAGCTCATAGTCAAATCCTTCATGTGCAGTAATAGAAAGCATACATAAGGCAAAAAAAGTATCGGGTGTGGTCAACTAGTGCAGTGAAAAATGTCACAGGAATTTTGTAGGTAGATGTGAATGTCTCTTGGTGGGTAGAGAAAAGAACAAATACAAAGGAACAGATGCAAAATATTGTGATATGTTGAATAATTTAGTACTTTTTCTGCATGGAAGCTGGGGCGGTGCTAGAGAGAGACATTGGTGAGGATAAGTCAGGAAGCTACAGCACGGGATGAAACACAGAGCTTTTTTTTTTTTTTTTTTTTTTGGTACCAGGAATCAAACTCAGGACTCTGTGCTTGCCAGGCAGGTGCTTGTGCTGCTGAGCTATATCCCCAGCCCTCTAAGAGCCTTTTATATTCTACTTAAAAGTATGGGGGCTGGGGTTTAGCTCAGCGGCACAGCACCTGCCTGGCAAGCGCAAGGTTATGGTTTGATTCCTGGTACTGGAAGAAAAAAAAAAAGTATGGACTTTTCTTTGCAAGTAGTGCAAAGCCACTGAAGTTCTACAAATAGCAGTGACATCGTATTGAAACATAAGATCATTCCGGCAGCTCCGCTGAGTGGAATATTTAGGAAAGTGGAGTTTGCAACACACAAAAGCGGAACTTTTATGGAGTCAGGCAGGAAATAATAAAAATCTGAAGAGTTAGATGATGGTGTAGTTTTTTGGTTGTATCTTGTCAGTGGTTCTAGACCAGAAATTAACAAACTGTGGCCCATGGGCCAAGTCCAGTCAACCACCAGATTTTATGAATAAAATGATTTTTGAAACCCATGTACAGGGCCAGGGGTATAGCTCAGTGGCTTAAGCGCTTACCTGGCAAGCCTGAGGTTATGAGTTCGATTCCCGGTACCAAAAAAAAAAAGTAAAGAAACACAAGTACACCACTTGTTTGTCTGTTGCCTATGAATGCTTTCATGCTATAATGGCAGAATTGAGAGTTCGCAACAGAGACTGTCACCTACTAAGCCTAAAACGTTTACCATCTGGCTCTTTACAAAAAAGTTTTGCTTGCCCTTATTCTGAACTCTAAGTCCACGTCTTATTCATGTCTGAATCTCCCACAGTACTCCAAAAACCTAAATACTGAGCGCATAGTGGGTATTCAGTGAATATTTTTAAATGAACAAACCCATATATGTATTCTGAATCAAAACTCTTCCGTGAGTCATAATTTCCCTACATAGTAAAAGTGATTTTGTTTTAGCTCATCTTTTTCAATGGTTTTGGTAGTGTGGGAATATAGGATTGAGTCTTTTATAGAATGCATCTTTGTAGGGTATATTTTTTGATTCTTCTTCCTTGCTGTGGAAATATTTTAGTAAGAAGTGATTGTACTTCTAGAACAATTATGTAAATGATGTGGAAGTTGCTCCATACTGATCTTCCATCTCAGACCATGTATGTCTTGATATACTGTACAGTAACTAGTTTACTAATTGTCTGACTTTTGTATGCATTGGCCACAGGATTTTCTTCTAGTCGTTTGTCCTTTTTTTTTTTTTATATTAATTTAACTCAGGGCACTGTGCTTGCCAGGCAGGCGCTGTGCCACTGAGCTACATCCCCAGCCCTCATTTGTCATTTTTACCACAGTAACCCTCTCTGAAGATGTCACTGTGAGCCACTGTATCACTAAGAAATGTGGTTTTTTCAGGAGTCTGTTGGGTTTAGCCTCATACGAGGCAAGAGGAGTGGTGGAAAGGTTGCAGTCAGAAAGTGTGGTTATGCTGCATTGCAGTTCTTCAGATTTTTGCTTCTGACCTGTCAAACAGATATTCTGCTTTTTTTTTACCAGGTTTTAGTAAGAATAAAACCAAAGACTGTACATAGAAGTACCTTATAAACAATATAAATGGTAGTAATTTTTGTTATTACTGGATAACTTTTGTTTTTATTGTATTTGTTTTTGTCTTTTTGAGACAGGGTCTAGCTATGCAAATTAGGCTGGCCTTGAGCTCACTTTGAGCCCAAACTAATCTCAAACTTGGAACATTTCTCCTGCCTCAGCCTCCCGAGTGCTGGGATTATAGGCGTGCACCACCATGCCTGGCTATTATGGGCTAATAATAGAGAATACCATGTACATCTTTTTCCAGTATCTAGGCTTCTGATTTTTATTATTTGTGATTATAACTTTTCTAATTGTAAGATTTAGCTTACACTGTATAGTCTACTACTATATAGAATATACTGTTCTTTAGATGTACAGGTAGGTAGTGCAAGTAGTTACCATTATTTCCCTCATTTTCGTCATGTACTTATATCCTATTTCTCCCCCCACACACAGACACTCTCATATGCTAGGAATAATATGCATTTATCTGCATTTTAAAAATCTGCACATCAAAGAGTTTCTGAACATTATCTTCCAACAAGATGATAATTCAGTGGGACAGAAGACAGTAGTTAGTAGGCAGTTCTCCCATGCCTGTAGATGTTCATCACTGTATGTACTTCAGTGACGGATAAGTTGGTTAGAGCTTTCAAACAATGCCAATTTTCAGTTATTATGAATACTTTCGGGGCTGGGGATTTAGCTCAGCAGCACAGCGCCTGCCTGGCAAGCGCAAGGTCGTGACTTCGATTCCCGGTATCAGAAACAAAACAAAACAAAACAAAACAAATGAATACTTTCTTCATAGCATGAAAATATATTATGTGTTACTTTGCTTCCTTTTCAAAAGAGTTAGGCCTAAACAAAGATTTAATCAGGTGATTAAACAAGGCTTCCTTGTTAAACTTTTTTTTTTTTTTTTTTTTCAGATTCTTCTGAAGCAAGTAGAAAATCTAGCCATAAACACCTGATGTTTATGTCATTTGTACTTGAACCTATATTTTGGGTTAAGTAAAATTCATGTGATTTTCGGTTATTTTTATCTCTAAAGAAATTTCTGCTTCAGATAAAGAAGACCCATAATCTGAATTTCTTTTCCAGTCCATTGTAAGGAATAAATTGGAGACACATACACAAGCACTTTACTATTGAATTAAAGCTCTGAGTTATATTTGCTGAATTTCAATAAAATTATTTCTTTTCTGTAGACTTTTTGATTAAGGTCATTTTACCTTTAATTTAAGAGAGGAGAGATAAGAACTTTGAAAGGTCAAATTTAAAAGGTTATGAAATTTAAGGGTGACCACTTGATATTTGCTAGTGTTGAAATACAAGTTTATGAGTTTCTGTGGATATAAGCTGAAAGATGCTGCCTCTTGTATATTGATTGGATATAATAAATAAAATGCAGAAAATATCTTACTGATTCAAACAAATGAGAAAACATTTTGTAAATGAGTAAAAATGCAGAATCATTTATTTTTTAAAATAAGATTTTACCAATTTTGATAAAACAGTAAAAGTAGGCTAAGAGAAATTTCTAGAAATTTTATTTTAATAAAGAAGCAGGAGTAATTTACCACTGAAATATACTTACAAATAGGTAACCTTTAGAGGTCCTGGAGTACCTAAAAACAACTTGTTCTAAAAGAACTCTTCCCTAGCCATCTTCAATATTTAAAAAATTTTAATTGCCACATAGTGATTGTAACTATTGGTAGGGTACAACGTGATATTTCAGTGCACGTACGTAAATGTAATGATCAGATCAGGGCAACTAGCATA